GCACCTCACCCACACACACACACAGACACACGCACACACACACACACACACACACACACACACACACACACACACACACACACACACACACACACACACACACACATATTGAAACCTGAGTGAAGTACAAAGCCCATAATGAAGAATAGTTTAGCATCCAAATACATCGCAAATGTTGAAACAGTTTGATTCTAATGAGAGAGTTACGTGAGCCAAACACCACCTACTTTCACTTTCGCTTTCAATTATTTCGGTTATTTCTTAATTATAGTTTTTTTTTATTCTTGTTCTGTTCTGAATATCATTAAATTTAAAGAATTGCTTGTGTAATATTTTGAGTGTATCATCAAAACAGATTAATTCTCTCGGTTTAGTGATTCCCTAGTTATTTTTTTATTGTTTTCATTGTTCTAATCCGGTAAGGCAAGTGATATATATATATATATATATATTTTTTTTTTTTTATATATATATATAATTTATATATATATATATATATATATATATATATATATATATATATATATATATATATATATATATATATATATATATATATATAAATATAGCTGCGAGCAGCGATGAAGGGCCAAAGCCGGCGGCACCGCCACCCCGGTGCCTTTAGGTAACTAAAGGAACCGGGGTTGCGGTGCCACCGGCTTGGGCCCGTAATCGCTGCTCGCAGCTATATTTCTTATTATTTTTCTGCTACCTTTTGGACACTTTTGGAGGCCTTAACATGCTCAAAAACTCCTGAAACTTTGCACACATGTCAGAACCCGCGGCCATCAGGGCCGGGCTGAAGATGGTACCCGGGCGTGGCAGGGGGGCTCGACAGCGCCCCCTGGAACGGGGTCCGAAAACATGGTCCATAAATCAAACACGCTTGCATGTAATAATATGAAACTCGGTACACATGTAGATCTCCTCGTTTCATATATACTTCACACTCTTACTTTTTACCCCAGCCCAACAGGAAGTCGGCTATTTAGGGTTGTTGGTAAAACACACGCAATGGAATGTGAAATACTCCTCCTAGAGAATTCAAACAAACGGCACGAAACTCGGTCAGCATGAAGTCAAGACATTGAGGATGAAAGTTTGCGAGGGGATTTTTGATATCTCGAACGGTTTGGCCGTGGCGAGGAAACAAAATTATGGCGAGAAACGTGAAACAGGAAGTGTGTCATAACTACTGCATACATTAACTGATCTTGATGAAACTTCAACAGTGTGTTCGTTGTAAGAGCCCGATCACATGGATGTGACTATTGTGAGTCAAAGTTATAGCGCCACCAACTGGCAGCAGGAAGTGTGTCACTTCCTAAATGCTTTGAAATCACCCTCTTATCTTTACCCGATTTGCTTCAAACTTTATGTGTATAATGTAAACACACGGCAGATGTAGACCTGTGAAAGGATTATTGATATCTTAGATACTGTTGCCGTGGCAACACATCAAACTTTAATATTCTTGTTTGATGCTTTTGAGACTCTTAGCATGCTTGAAATTGCATGAAACTCGACAGACACAGGTATGCATATGGTTCAGATCAAGCCGGACAACTTTCTAATTAACTGTCATTAGCTCAGACCAAGAGGAAGTTAGATATTTTGGTTTGAATGTGGATGTTTCTGAGAATTTTCTCTCCCTCTCCCTCTGACAGAGAGAATGCACCCTGCCATTCGTGTGTGTCTGTGTCTGTGTCTGTGTGGGGAGGGGGGGAGGGGCTCTTTTAGTTTAAACACAAAATTATACATAGGGCCATACTGCCCTCTTGTGTCCAAAATTATATTTATATATACATTATACATATATTTGGTATGTGACTGAGGACCGAGAGCTTTTAAATACGGGACATTGATAATGGCCACGTGCAGAGCGCTCGAGGGAATTCCTATGGAAGTAGGAATGAACTAAAAAACGTTCGCTCTTTTCTGCTCGCTCGTCGCCATGGACGCGCACCATTATGAATGCCAGTGCAGCCGCATACTTTTTAGTGTCACTTTAAAATTAGTGCAATAACGGGGCCGATTGCTTGAATTGTGAGTTCAATAGTCTATTATTTTTCACGGAAAACACAACAACAAAAGAGTACAATGATAGATTCGCTTAAATAGGGGCTTTTACATAAAATAGCCTATTCCGTCATCATCTTTTCAGTCAGCTCTTCACTCTCGTGATTAATGAAATTTGACTCCTGTTGCTGATATTTGCTGCAACTTTCGTTCCGCTCACAATTTAGTAAGCAAACACGCTTCAAATGTGTTTTTATTTTATTTTTGTGTATATATATGTGTGTGTATATATATGTGTGTGTATATATATATATATATAGCTTATGTTTCAAATATGAGTTAATTAACAATCGTTGGAAAGAATGATACTTTTAATATCACTAAACCGTCATTAGGTGTCGCCAGGCGACCGTCTTAATGAGCGAGTCATTGATTCATTCGTTCAAACGATTCGTTCGAACGGCTGAGTCATTCATGAATGAGACAGATTATGGATTGGTCGTTGAATCTTTGAGTCAACCGATTCGTTCAAAATGCTGAATCATTCAGTAATGAGAACGCGTTGCTGTGAGATGCTCGATGGTTCTGCTGTGATCTTTGTTTAACTATTTTCGCTGCTGAAACAGAAAAAAAAGTCAATATTGCATCTAAAATGTAAGTGATTTGACGTGTGTGTGTGTGTGTGTGTGATTGTGTCTGTTACAGTGATTGTTTAACCCTTGTTAAAGTTTAGGCCTTGTCTTTTTGGATATATATCTTTTTATATAAAAAAAAATAGCATACAACCCATGTATTTTAAATGTATTGTTTGCTTTAAATTACATTGAGATTTGTATGTTTGGTAATTGAACCTGAATGAATTATAAATTAATGTGCTATATTTCAGATCATATATTTGTTTTCCTTAAAATTTGAACTAACACTAACTTTATTCTCATCTGAATGATAGATTATTTATTTCTGTATAAAATAAAAACACATTTGATTTTTCTTTTTTAATCAATGTAGAATGTGTAACTGAAAAAATAAACAGATTAGGGCTCTGATCGAGGACAATAAATGAAAACCAATGCAATATGATGAATGTCCAAAAGATTTTTTTTGCTTTTAAACTATGTGTGTGTGTGTGTGTGTGTGTGTGTGTGTGTGTGTGTGTGTGTGTGTGTGTGTGTGTGTGTGTGTGTGTGTGTGTGTGTGTGTAAGAGATTTCGGTTGGGTGACAGTTGTAGTTTACAGTTTGACAAAAGCACAATGTTGTGTTTTATTGTGATTGTACACAAATATAAGTAAACACTTTGCAGTTTGAATAATGTCCTGTATGAACAAAAGGACGGGGTATGTTTTTATGTCTACATTGTTCAATCACGCCTCACACACACACACACACACACACACACCAACTATTTTTCTAATCAGATCAGGCAAGTAATATTCTGTCTTGGCACACTTCATATAACTTTCAAACTTGTGTACTTATTTCATGTGTCCATTAAGTCCATGAGACCGTAGAGTGTCTCATTTTTCATTTTAGGTTTCAGAAGGTTGCTCACGCATACTTTGTGGTTGATATGTGCCCTCAATGCACACTTTTGCAGAGCCCACACCAATGCAAGCTCTACAGCACACATCTTCTCAAAGGTCAAAGCGGAGTTACGATATTGCCCGTCATGCACAGTAACCCTAAAGGCACCAGGGTGGCGGTGCCACCGGCTTGTTTATATATATATATATATATATATATATATATATATATAAATATAGCTGCGAGCAGCGATGAAGGGCCAAAGCCGGCGGCACCGCCACTCCGGTGCCTTTAGATAACTAAAGGCACCGGGGTTGCGGTGACACCGGCTTGGGCCCGTAATCGCTGCTCGCAGCTATATTATTATTAGTTATTTCTATCAGAAAAAAAAAGTAATAAAAAAAAAAACTGAGTGTGTTTACCTAAAGCTTCAGTTTTGTCTTTTTACAAACTTAAAGGGGTGATGAACTGAGAAATCAAATTTTCCTTGAGCTTTTGACATCTAAGAGGTCATCAAATTATAAGAATATCCTGTAAGTTTCAGAACTGAAAATGTCCTTGTTAGTCCAATAAAATCTTTTATTGACACCAGGCTCAGCAAACGACTCGTTTTTCAAAGTGGGGAACTATGACGTCAAAGAGGATAAAACACCACCCCCGCAGAAGAAGATCACCGCCTACTTCAACACGGCCGGTTTAGCCCCGCCCACCGATTCGCGCATTACACGAAACTCATTATAATATGCAAAACTGTTATCCACTCACAGCAGTGGGCGTTTACTTCCAAGTCTTCAATGCGAGACACCCATAAAAACCGAGCGTTTTTGAGCTAGGCTCAAAACTAGGGTAGAAAATAGCCTATTACTTATTCATTTTGATGTTTTTGAATGTAAAAACCAAGCGAACGTCATAAGTTGACCTCAGACAACAATATAAAACAATTTAAAAAGCCAGTTCATGACCCCTTTAATTTGAATGAGTCCCCACCCGCCACCAAAAAAAAAAAAATCATGTGAATATGTTATGATTTTTGGGGTAGGAATATCAATACAACAATGTGAGGTAAACATTGTGATGTGCTCTGTATTTTACGGTCTAGTTTCGGTAGTTCAGTGGTTAAACCTACAGAGTAGAGATTTATTGTATTTATTGAGTGGGACACACTTAGAAACACTCCACTCCGAAAGCAAAACGAGAGAGAGAAAAAAAACATTTCCTGTGGCGTTCAGGATATTAAAAAACCTGCCAGGAAAGACAAGAAATATTGACATTTAATTTTATGCCTCTGCATTGTTTCTGCACTTGCTGCCAGATTGGTAATTTCACAGATCATAATCCCGAGCGCAGTGACTTCAGCCATCTGCGTCTGCAGGGTTACATCTGCCGTATTACATCGCCAGCTCATTTTTCACATCCCTCAATGAGATGCATGTGTTTTTGCATTATTTTTGGTCTTCAGCCTGATAACCTGTTAGCCAGTGTGTTGGCTCACCCTGTGCTGACTGCCTCTGGACTGCCTGGAAGGAACCGGCGCTTCATCTCTCCGAACAGTGCAGCTTCAGCCGCGGCTAGTGTCCTGGCGTCCCTCTCGTCTTCCCAGCAGCCCCATGCAGGACGATCTCGCTCACACACATTTCTACCATCCCGACAGCAGCACGACGGCCTCATGTACGACAGCGACCACACTGTGGCCGACAGGTAACTGTCATAAAACCCCGCAATTTGTGTCGAAGTCATTCAGATCTGTGTTATATCCATGTTACCTGTTCTTTAGCATGTCCGCTAGTGACTCCAAGATGCTCAGCCAGTCTCATTCAGCCCTGGTGTCAGAGTTTGCATCTGCCGAGATGAGCCTGCACGCTATATACATGCATGAGGTGAGTACACTCTACTCGCAGTGGCCCCAATATACTCAAATATTAATAACAATCCTTCATAAGACCTTTTGGTCTTTCCCTCAGGTGCATCAGCAGAAGACCCAGCATGCATCTGGACTGTTTCAGGCCTCTGTGCCAATGAGGGACATGAGCGCCAACAGTGGTGAGTGAACCATAGAGTTGTCTTATGAACCGTCTGATGCATATTACACACAGAAATTGATTTTTCATAACGCATCAGATAGTGGTGGTCGTTTTGAGTAATTAGTCAAATCAACAGCACTGAAAAGAATCAAGTAAGATTTAATTAGAATTGAAATATTGCTCTTTGGCGGCATCTGAAAGTACGTCCATTGGTGCATCATCCGCATCACATTAGTGCCGCCCAATGCTTTTATTAAAGATGAGACTGATAAGAGATTTGGCGAGAAAAATATATTTCATATGTGCCTAAGGTAGACGAAGTCACGATGAAAAATGTATTTGAAATATAATTGAAAAATGTTTGATAACACTTTACAATATGGTTACTTTTCCTAGCATTAGTTAATGCATTTGATATCAAACAAACAATCATTTATTTTACAGCGTCTTTTAAATATTGTTAATTTATAAATAAATAGTTTTTTATTGTTAATTTATGATCAATATTACTATTACACATTTTTATTATTTATCATTTTAAACAACTCAAATAAAAGTATTTTATTTTATTTGTTTTAGCTAGGTCCTGTTACCAAATGCATTAGCTAATGTTGACAAATTTAACCTTATTGTAAAGTGCAACCATTATACTAGGGAATGGGGTAATTAATAAACATTAATTTGCAATATTCTCTAAAAACTTGCTCTACAATATTCTAACGCTTTGCAATAAGAATACATTTGTAAGCATTAGGAATCACAAACTCACAATCAACAATACTTTTTACAGCATATATTAATCTAACTTCATGTTTAAAATCATTGTTATTATTATTATTTAAATTTGAGATTTAAAAAAAAATTGTTTAAAGATATTAATATAATTTAATAAATCTGAATCATGAATGAATTAAAATAGCATTATATATTGTTAATTTATTCAACTTGTAATGCTAATGTATTAACAAAAGTAGTAATTACACACAAACACACATTTTTATATATATATAAATGCTGTAAAAGTGTTTTTTTATTCCTAGTTCATGATGCAGAATGCATGAAGTAATATTCACAAATTTACCCTCATTATAAAGTGCTCTTAGAGAATGGGACTAATAAATACATTTTCAGATTGTGGCTGGTCAGTCAAGTTAACTTAGTCAATAAGTGAGCGTTTCTCAGCCAGAATAAGCCATCAACAGGTCTATGATATCAAATGTTGAATCTTTGGGTTAATCAATCATTTTATATGGTATAACTCTGGTATAAAAGGATCATGAGCCGCTTCTTTCTCTCAGCCCAAGGTCCCGAGACACAGACAGTCACCTTGGAGTCGCCCACTTCTGTCCGCCTGGGTGGCTGGGCTGAAGAGGAAGAGGAGGAGCAGGGGGACGAGGAAGAGATAAACATCAACCCTGTGCCAGATCAGACCAGCAGAGGGAGCAGCTGAAGTGCCTTCAACCTGTACGGTGCGTTTCACACATCAACGACATCGCTTATCCCGTATTATATTGATATATCATTCCATAGGATTCGATTTTTGACTCAAACTACTCAATAAAGTGCAAAATGAATCAAATTCCATATTAACATCTCTGTTTTTTGCAGGTTTTGTGTTGATTTCTGGGAGTTGTGGCCTTGCTTTGAAACCTTTTGATAAAGCGTGCTGGGACGCCACACCAAGCATGCTGTTCCAGGGGCCGTCGGGTTCTCTGGACGCACCGTCTTCCAGTTCAGAGGAACTGATGTAATGGACTGCAAGAGTATGTCTGCCACTCTCCCTCCCTCCTCACATCAATCACATTTACATTTAAGACTGCTGTGTGTGTGTGTGTTTGTTTTGTTTATGACATGACAGGATGACACTTGTTTTACAGTATTTATTTCCATTTCATTTTTTCCTCATGCAACGTTTGATTTATTCGGGTTAGGGCAAGTAACTTTCTCCGCGCCGGCAGTATTTACTTTTGAAGCGCTGCCTCGGTTTTCAGGGATGAAAACATCCTTTATCGTAGTATTGCTAGTTTCACTTTAGCGTTACAGCTCCGGCGGACAGAGAAACTTCACTGAATGTAAAATCATGCCAGTTGCCTCATAAGAAAAACATACTATTCAACATAAAATTATCTTTTTTTTCCTTAAAGAAAATATAATATATAGGATTAAGGATAATTTTGCCTAGTTTAATTTAAATGAAACAAAAGTTTTGACAGATATGAATAAAATGCAACATAAAAAAAAAGATTTTAGCAATAAAATTCATCACATTTTACCAAAAAGGGTTTGATTTGCAGGGGAATAGTTCAAATAAAAAAGTCAGTCTGTCATGAGCGCGTTTCATCTACACTGACAAATGTGCTTGTTTTAATCTTTAGATGATCATATGACTGCATTAAATGATTTTTGTTATCATTTAAATGATGCTAATGCTATAAGAATGAAACAAGCTAAAGATATGTTCGAGTTAAATGTCGAAAAAATATTTAAATGAATAAAATGATAGGATTTTTTTTATAAAGCCAGACATTAGTCACAGTTCAATCCCATTTAAATATGATTTTTCAACTTGTAAACAACATATGAACATTTTTAACCACTCAAAAAGTTACAAATAGTGACTAGTCAAGGTTAAACTGACTAAATCAGTTTGCAGCTGTTAATAATGTCATGTTTTTAAGATTGGTTTGGGATTTGTACTTTGCACCCAACCGATAACAGTCTCTTCCAGTGTGATGAACTAAATATGACACATCTGACAGAAGATCTTTCAAGCCGTATCCCAGAATTCATCCGTTTAAGCAGTTAATGTCTCGTGTCCGTATAGACCCAAAACTGAAGGGTGTGGAGTTCAATCCGTTTTTAAACTAGAATCTGCCATAGAACAAATAGTTTTTAATGAATGTGCTCTCAAAAGGTTTGCCTCTGTAATATATCAGCATCACAAGAGCCTGAGGGCACAGTTTACACATGGCCTGAACGACACAGTCCTTCCTGTGGCCAGAGCTTTCAGAAATCACCTACTTGAAATACTGCAGTAAATGGATGTTAGAGAGTAGTAGTTTATAAGGGTAACGGCTTCAATATCATACCCACCGAAATACCTCCCAGTGTACCTTAAGACCGCATATGTACAGTATTTATTTGTGTGGGTGTGACGTTATTGAACGAACACAATCAGGATGACGAGCTATTGCAGACGCAGTGTTACGGGGTTCTGGGTTTTTTTTCCACACAAGTGAAACACTTTGTTTTACAGCTCTGTTATCTTAAAGTTCTGTTTAAACAGTCTGGGGTCGAACTGTGCCAGGTGCTATATATTTGTATATTTAATTTGTTTCGATATTTGTCTCTTTTTGTTGGATTTTGACTCGTTTTGTCTGATCGAAATAACACTATCAAAAAAAAAATAAACCACACCAAAACCTGTATTTGCTGTCTTGGTTGATCATTTCAGGCACCAGTGCTGTTTTATTATTACTTTAATGTGATTATAGAAATTCTTAATATTTTGAATTAGTTTTTTTTTATATTTTCAGTTTTCATTTCTTAGTCATTTTATGTGTTTAGGGCTAGTTTGTCATTATTATTTTAGATTTGTATAGCTTTTATTTTAATTTCAGTTTTAGTAATTTACAAAAAACATTTATTTAATTTAAAAATGACAAAATACTTAAACAAAAATTAGGATTGTTGCCTTGGGAATACAGTGACAAGTTTAAAGTGTTTAATACTTGTATATAATTATTGTATTCATATTTTGAATTAGCTTTTATTTTTATATTTTCAGTTTTCATTTTATTATTTATTTCATCAATTTAGTCAGTAATTGTATTATGTGCTTTGGGTTAGTTTGTCCTTTTTTTGTATTTAGGTTTTTTTGGCAATAAACTAAAATACATTTGTTTTTAATCTAATATTTATATATGATTATAGTATTTCTTAATATTTTGAATTGGCTCTTATTTATATATTTTCAGTTTAAATTTTAATTTAAGGTAATTTTGTGCTTAGGGTTAGTTTGTAATTTTTATTATGTTTTAGATTTGTAGAGCTGTTTTATTTCAGTTTTAGTAATTTGCTAAAACTATTTAAAAATGGCAAAATACTTTGCTATAAACTGGAACAAGTTTAAGTTTTTCCATCTAATATTTATATTTTAGCTTTATTTCAATGACTGAAAACAATTAGTTTTATAGTTTTAGTCAACAATAACATCACTGTCAGGCTAAGACAATATAAACAGACCTGATATTACGCACAGAATCAACAGACAGACAACATGTTAAGAGATGGTTAAATATATTGTTTATTATACTGGATCATTTACATGTCACATCTCTCCATTTTAAAATTGTGATACCTGTACTAGAAATCCCATTGTGGTTTATATAAAACAATACAATAATACATTGTTGCTGAGTGCAGAAAACATGATGGAAGATGATATCTTGCCTTTAACCACATTGCAAAGCACTGTAGTGAAGCTAAAGTCTCCCCACAATGTACCTGGACACTTAAATTACACTTAAAACTGTCACTAAAATGTCACACAACTAACATGACTTTTCCACGCCGTTTTTCAACCAACAGGCCTCAAGGTGATTCACATCAACTAAAAACATGATCCACTAATATTTGAAATATCTTCATTTTGCACAGTATATCCAACTCGTTTTGTGAAATGTTTTGCTTCGAAAGTGTGCTTGTGCTTTTTTTTTTTTTAACAAAAAACGCCATTCAGTTTGATATTTTGTATCGGTAAAACATTATTTTGACAGTCCACTTCAGACATTCTAATTCTTTCTAAGGACTTTGCTATAAGTAACTTTGCAACTGACGTCAGAAGGATTGGACTATAGCAGCTTTCATTGGCCGAAGAGCGACCAATCACAGTTCATTTTGTTCTGCATCATGTTGTTTAGTGGTGTGAAAATGTAACGTCGATGTCCCTACAATAACAGACCGGTGTGTAAAACTCTTAGACGTATATTAAAGAGGCTATGCCATGAACTTTACATACTTCGCATACATTTGAAAATCCAGTGTTTAGATGATCCTGATAAGCGCTCATCGTCACAGTTATAAACATGACAGCTTTCTTCTTCCCTGAGGGGGTTTGGCTTCACGGGATCTTTGTTTCCAGGGGAACCGTTGAAGAACGCAACACACACGTCTCCCGGAAATCCTGTAGGATTCAACCAATCAGATGACCTCGAAACTCCTGAAGTGTTTGCAATTTTGTGAGTCTAGACTACAAGTAGCTTTGCAACCACATGTCAACTCATTCTGTGAAACCTAACCCTAACACAACAGTCTACTAATACTCTAATGTTAAGTTGACATGTAGTTAGTAGAATGTCTAAAGTGGACTACTGAAATAAAGTGGAACCTTTGTATCTAATGCAATGAAATTCAGAAGTGTTGCTTAAGTGTCCAAATACTTTTCTGGGGTATTTTTGAACATGTGTATATAATATATATATATACATATATATATGGCAGAAAAAGGAAGACACCTGTAACTTCTAGGTAGACCCCCAAAACATAACAGAATCAAATCAAACTGTTTGAGTAATGTGTATCATCTGAATATTTCCCAGTGGATGGGGAACCATGATCTAGGAGCAGGATTTTTAATGCTCATTATAATTAATAAGAGCGTTTAACTCTTTAAGACGCGTACAGTCTTTGCCAATTAAAATAATGAATTATCTCCCAGAGGAAACAATCTGAATGGCTTCACATGTTGTTTGAATTCATGGGATTGGATGGGAAGAGTAGTGAAGCTTTCATAGGATCATTACACATCAAATGCATCATTCATAAATCTAAATATTATTCAACAACATCCCATCTCGTCACTGCCTAGTAGACGGAAGTGGAAATAAATAGAGTAACATTAGCGTGTCGAAATAAAACAGCATGAAGAGCAAATTGCTGGTAACTCAGGTAGTACCGAAAGCATCTCGTTCCTTCTGTTTACCTGACAGCTAATAATTAAGACTTGAAGGTAATATACGGTTTTCATTAACACAATATGCATATTATTGCACTTATATATATATACACAAAATATGAACAGAGACAAACATTCTGAATGGTTACACATTTGCTTTCGAGTACTATCACAGGGCTGAATTCAGTCAAACCGCAGTTAAAGCTTACATGATTATTATACAAAAAAGTGCCAAAATAGATGAAACCTTGGCCAAACCCACTGTATCTATAACAATTTTTGTGCAATATTAAAATGCTTTCTTTTTGAGATTTGTTTAAGGCGGCTTGATCAAATTAGGCCCACAGTGTTCATACAGGATTCAAGAAAAGCACAGAGGAAAAAATACTCTCTCGGATTAAATACCCTCACAGTATTTGTACATTTGAAATCGTTCGAAAAGAAAGGTCATGAAATCTACCAGGATTTTCCACAATGTCAAACAAACAGTGGCTGTGATGTTATTAATAAAACCTGAGTTTTGTTCTGGAAGTGTTGTCTATTTGTACTTGATGATGATATATTGATTCTATTCAGGTGTCACATTGTTTGCTTGTTTTGAACTATTTAACATGTACATTTTCATGGACTTACACTTCTTTTGGAGTCTATCTGATATATTTCACAGTTTTCCGTCGTATCCTAAGCCGTCTTGTCGCCTGCGTCATCAACAAGCGAACTCCTCGAAGTTGCCTATAGCCGGGTGACTAGGTAGCACGTTCGGCGCGAATCCGAGACTGTCCGAGTGACTCCGGAGTGTGTCGCATGTGCTCTGCAACAGAGGGAACGGAAGATTTCGGGGGGGTGGGAGTGATACGAGGAGATCAGATGAGGGGTTGGAGATGAATTCATGTCAGGACGTCCAGACGCATTTATAACAGAGGAAATAAACAAATATGGGAGAGAAATGAACAAGGGAATGGAAATAAAAGGTGGCAATAAGCAGCAGACAGAACATCAGTGATGCGATAATGAAGAATACATGTCAAATTTTGATTTTAAAAAAAGAGGAGGAAGAATTCACGGATAAAGGTATGGATGAAGGGGAGTGGGGAAGGAAGAAGGTTTCTTAGTCTTGATTCTGGAGCTCTGGAAATCTTGCAGCGAACTTTGCAATCACAACTCAGCAGGATGCATGAACTTAATTCAGTGTCAGTCCAGTGAAGCTCATGTGTGTGTGGGACTCATTGTGTGTAGACCTGTGATGAGATGCATCTAGAGATGTTATTGGACACGGGTCTCAAACAATGGAAGCCATTTGAGCCTTTTTTGATAAAACTCTAAATAAATCTCTGGATTTACCTTCCCCATTGAATTATAGTAAGGTCACTGTTAAATATAATACAGAAATATTAATACACAAATATTAACTGCTAAGTTTATCATTTATTTGTATCATACATTTTTATTATAAATAAAATTATTATATTATATACACTCACCTAAAGGATTATTAGGAACACCATACTAATACTGTGTTTGACCCCCTTTCGCCTTCAAAACTGCCTTAATTCTACGTGGCATTGATTCAACAAGGTGCTGAAAGCATTCCTTAGAAATGTTGGCCCATATTGATAGGATAGCATCTTGCAGTTGATGGAGATTTGTGGGATGCACATCCAGGGCACGAAGCTCCCGTTCCACCACATCCCAAAGATGCTCTATTGGGTTGAGATCTGGTGACTGTGGGGGCCATTTTAGTACAGTGAACTCATTGTCATGTTCAGGAAACCAATTTGAAATGATTCGAGCTTTGTGACATGGTGCATTATCCTGCTGGAAGTAGCCATCAGAGGATGGGTACATGGTGGCCATAAAGGGATGGACATGGTCAGAAACAATGCTCAGGTAGGCCGTGGCATTTAAACGATGCCCAATTGGCACTAAGGGGCCTAAAGTGTGCCAAGAAAACATCCCCCACACCATTACACCACCACCACCAGCCTGCACAGTGGTAACAAGGCATGATGGATCCATGTTCTCATTCTGTTTACGCCAAATTCTGACTCTACCATCTGAATGTCTCAACAGAAATCGAGACTCATCAGACCAGGCAACATTTTTCCAGTCTTCAACTGTCCAATTTTGGTGAGCTCTTGCAAATTGTAGCCTCTTTTTACTATTTGTAGTGGAGATGAGTGGTACCCGGTGGGGTCTTCTGCTGTTGTAGCCCATCCGCCTCAAGGTTGTGCGTGTTGTGGCTTCACAAATGCTTTGCTGCATACCTCGGTTGTAACGAGTGGTTATTTCAGTCAAAGTTGCTCTTCTATCAGCTTGAATCAGTCGGCCCATTCTCCTCTGACCTCTAGCATCAACAAGGCATTTTCGCCCACAGGACTGCCGCATACTGGATGTTTTTCCCTTTTCACACCATTCTTTGTAAACCCTAGAAATGGTTGTGTGTGAAAATCCCAGTAACTGAGCAGATTGTGAAATACTCAGACCGGCCCGTCTGGCACCAGCAACCATGCCACGCTCAAAATTGCTTAAATCACCTTTCTTTCCCATTCTGACATTCAGTTTGGAGTTCAGGAGATTGTCTTGACCAGGACCACACCCCTAAATGCATTGAAGCAACTGCCATGTGATTGGTTGATTAGATAATTGCATTAATGAGAAATTGAACAGGTGCTCCTAATAATCCTTTAGGTGAGTGTATATATATTGTTTTTAATTTCCCTAATTTCTATATTTTTAAGGTAGCAATTAACTGGTTCTTCCGTTTGTACAAGCACGAATAGAATAGAATAGAATAAAATTGTCATGCTGATGTTTACCACAATAATTTAACTGGTTCTTCAGTTTCTACAAGCAAGAATAGAATAGAATAACCACATAATAATTTAACCGCTTCTTCAGTTTGCACAAGCAAGCAAATAATAAAAGTTTATAATAATTTTTATTATAAACAAAATTGTTATACATTTTACATTTTAAATTTCTATACTTTTAAGGTAGCAATTGCAGCTGACATGCTGCTGATTACCACATAATAAATTAACTGGTTCTTCAAAAGCAATAATATAAAATATTTAACACTTCAAAGAAATAAAAATATAAAATTTCAATAAAATGAACAATTTGTAGCTTGTATATTTGTTAAAGCCTTCTATTAAATATAAAATCTGTATTATATGCTTTATTTGAGTTGTAAATTAATTGTGTATTTTAATGTTTATCCAGGTGCAATGTCTGAAACGTTCACTGTAAGAGTATCACTGTGCATTAACTGATGAATTAAAATAATCTGCGATAATCAATAACATATCACAGATGCTAGAGCATCACCTGTACTGAACATGCAAATGTTTAAGAAATAGACGTTAAGACACAGTAGTAATTCCCCTGGCAAGCAGGCTTATTTTTCATATTTCTTAAGCCGAAGCTTGTAGGTGTCATTGAGTAAAAATAAGTCTTAAATAAAGCAATAAAGCTGCAGCTCTGGGTCTCTCGTCTCCTCTCTGCTGAGCATTTCCTCTATCATCTTAATATTTCTTTGCTTTGTTTATGACTAGAATATTCAAATTAATTCTTGGATCAGTCTAATATATTGTGACTACACACAAATTTATTTAATGTGGCTGTGTTAAAAATTCATGCGATGAGCTGTATTCAAAGCAAGAGCAATATGGGAACGTTCTCTTATAAGATGTCCTTTTCCATCATATTTCCACCTTGTTTCATCATTCTTCTGTCCTCCAAAACAGCACAAGCTTCCACCAAATACACGTTGTTTATCTAAATCTTGACCTTTCACTTAGACAAACCTTTCAGTATAGCATAGAGCAAGTTGTTGATGCCCTGGTGTCATCACTATAGAATAAATAAAATAGAGAATCAAAAAAAGTGGCCAAATTTTTGTCAACAGGAAACATTTCATTAATAAAAAAACTTTCACCAAGAAAAAACTTGCTAAATATAGTTCTTATCAATGTATAACCAAACCTACAAGCACTTCCTGTCTCCAGAACACCTCTTTACTAGGCTGGAAACATTCATTCATACAGTTGCGAATGATATAAGGGGCTTTCACACCGGGTAGTTGAAGGAGCGCAGGAACTACACCCTGAGAACTACATTTTCCTCAACGGACATTTTGCTTGTTGCATTCGCACGACAGCGAAGTCATTTAAGCGCGGGATTTAACAATGTCAACAACTCTGTAGTTGTAAAGTTAAAAAATGCTGGACTTCGGCATCTGTCCATCTATCGCTGTTTTCCATGTTTGTGGAGTAAGTATATGTAAGCTGTGTGTTTACACGACTCTTAAAACATGCCAGGTGCCGGAGTTTCGTATGGCACGCGTTCGGCCGATCAACGTACACTTATGGTGCGTTCAAGTCAAGGGGGTAATCCATCGACCGGAAGTTGAAGCCGGCCGGGAGCCGCCATCTTGTAGCAGAACTTCACTTGCGTTAGCATTTCCATTGACTCCCATTCATTTTGGCGTCACTTTGACAGCGAATAACTTTACATCTCAGGCGTTTAAAGACTCCATTTGTCCATTATTTATTTCTAAAGAAACACGACAATGTATAAAGGGCTCCATTACCTTCTATGTTACATTATGGCCCCGTAGAAACAGATTTAGTAAAAATAGGCTAACGATTGCGTCATAACCACTCGACTCTCTGTCGCGCTGTACAGAAATGACCGTACAGACAGGAGAAGAAGCTCGCAGGCAATCGGGGGGACGTCCCATCAAGAGAGAAGCCCATAGATAATGAGTCCATAAAAGCAACAGAATACTTACTCCTGCTCACTCACGCCAAAGAACTCTTTGCTCAAGTTCCCCGTCTCTGCAAGATTAACGTTGGCAATTTTCACGCACAGCTACTAGAAGATTTACGTCTCTCAGACAGGTTGCTCACGTCATCAAGCTTAGTTTGAGTTGGTTTGAGTCTGCGCGTCAGGAACGGAAGTGCTCAAAAATCCCTAAAAATGGGCTTCAACTGTCTCAACTGAGTTCCAATGAGATGGCTCTGTCCACTTCTTATACTGTCTATGGTTCAAGTCATCTCGTATCGTATTTACGAGTTGAACGCACTTGAATGCCACCACAATGTCGTAAATACCAGTGGGGAGCTCGGGATTTTCTCGCCCCGATCTTTCCGAGTTGTGGGCGTGTCACTGAGAAACATGGCGGAATACAATACTAAAATATTATGCAGTGATATTGTCAAGGTTTTCTATTTACAGCGCAGTTAAGCTAATTGCTTGCACAGAATATGATGGCATTATAATATAACAATGCAACATGTAACGATAAAGTTGGCAGTGGCTTCATAAATTAATTAAAAACATTAAAAAACAAAGTACATCTGATGCACATTTCTTTGTTCTTCATTTTCTAGAACAAGAGTTTAAGAACCTTACTGTATTTTTGTGTAATTAATTAGAAGAAAGTACTCCGCCATCTTACTCCGACGAAAGTGACTTGAACGCGCCTGCCGTCGTAAACACGACTTCCCACCTCGTACGTACGAACTTCCCAGGAGGACTTGAACGCACCATGACCCTACTCTGGGAGCTAGTTTAATTTAAAAGGCGTTCGTATTACTAAAATGTTCCCAGTTCCTGTGTGCCAGCGCGCCAAAAAGTGGGTACTTCAGCCATATGAAAACATTCCTCCGGTGCAAAAGCCCCTATAGATGCCTGAGAAATTCACAATTCTTAACTCCAATTAGTTAATTAGTCAAAGTGTTCTTACGTCATATGAAAGCATTGTGAAAATCAACGCTGTTTTGACAATGCAAAAATCCCAGCAAAAATGTTGAATCCGGACAGGAATATGGGCTAGATTCAGATACTTTCTTATTATTCTAAAGAAAAATAAGAAGAACGACATGAAGGTGAGTAAATAATGACAGAATTGTCATTATTGGAGAAACTAAAAAATAATTCACGCGTTTACAAAAGGCCCGTGTCGCTATTTTTTCCCTTTCCTTAAAGTTTTGATGAGGTTTCACATCTGCAACATGATGGTGTGAATGTTTCCATGTCTCAAACGCTAATCATTTACACACCACCATTCAAAAGTTTGGGGTCAGTAAAATGTCTTTATATGTTTTATAAAGAACTCTCTTCTGCTCACCAAGGCTGCATTCATTTGATCAAAATACAGTAATATTGTGAAATATTATTACAATTTAAAATAACTTTTCTATTTGAATATATTTTTAAAATGTAATTTATTCCTGTGATGCAAAGCTGAGTTTTCAACATCATTACTGCAATCTTCAGTCTCACATGATCCTTCAGAAATCATTCTAATATGCTGATTTGCTGCTCAATAAACATTTCTGATTATTATCAATGTTGAATTTTTTTTTTTTCAGGATTCTTTGATGAATAAAAAGTTCAAACATACAGCATTTATTTGAAATAGTAAATGCATTTATAATGTTACAAAATATTTCTGTCACTTTTGTTTCATTTAATACAAATGATTAAAATATTACTTATTATTAAATACATTTAAAAGTATTAAATCTTACTGACCCCAAACTTTTGAATGGTAGTGTAATTAAGACACACATAAATATATATATATATTTTATTTGATTTAAAATGGCATCATTTTGGTGAAAGAGAACAAAACATGAACTGTTGGGAGGAAAACAGAAAGAAGAAAAAACTCAAATAAAAGCAAGTGAAAGCTACAGGTGTTGTTTTACCTGAACTTCTGCAAAACATCATCTCCATCTTGAAAGCTACAGGGTTTTGAAAAAGGGATCTTAGAAAGCGTAACAATGACATTTGTTCATGTCTAGAACTACTGACATTCAATGTCACGAAGGGAAAAGACTCTAAATGGCGTGAATAATGCAAGGATTTTAAAGAAGGACACAATGAAATGCTTCTGCAATATTATTAATGGCGGCGCTACCTGGGGACATGGTTAGGCGTGACACCAGGGCTGGTGGAAATCTCGGGGGAATCCTGGAATAAACATGATGGAAAGAGATGAAGATGACCAAACCCAGGCGGAGGCCAATTCAGCTCAAACTTATTATATGCAAGACTGAAATTTAACATTTCTCATTCATTTTTTGAATATTTTTTAAATACATTTACTAATTAAATACATTTTTTTTTAGATATATTTGAAATATTTCACATTTATTTGGTTTGAAACTGAATTGACCTTCACCAGATTTATGACAAAATAATACAGTGCTGAAAAAGCAATGGTTCAATTTGTTTAAATACATGTTGTTTCTCTAAAATATACATTTTACATTTAATCTAACTAACTTTGGATCGTTCACTTTATTTTAATGGATTCTAATAACATCAAAACAATAATGTAAAACCAAACAAGCACTAGCCATGAACTACGACTTAAAAATCATGTGCATAATTTACTGCGGTAAAAGTTTTGAATACTAAAACTAAACAAAATTTCACTACATTAATTCTGAAGTCTCAAAAGTTTGCTAATCATGTAGTGTGGTGTGAGCTTGTTAGCGTATCTTAAAAGGTACACCATGTAACTTTTTTTGTTCAAAATGAACAATAAAGAGTCAATATTATGAATCCTTTTCCCAAAATGTGTTTTGTCTTACCTTGATTCACTATTCCAGTGTTCACTATCTAGTGTACACTATCTAGTGCACTATCAAGTGTACTCCCTATCTAGTGTGACGCATATCTGCTGTATGAGTGGGAGAGGTTAGTGTCACAACGACCGAGAAAGGTTGACATGGAGCAGATAAAGCTTAAACCTCTGGAGAATCACCCGTTTTAAAGAAACGCCGAACAGAGGAGAGTTTGCTGGCAAAAAGAGCTCGTAATAAAACCAGAATCAACACTGCTTGGCTTTTCGGAGATGGCGAGAACTATATCAGGGTTTTTCCTGGCTCAAAATGAGGCGGAGGTGGTAAAATTGTAACACTAGGGGGGTCCGGGGGAGAAATTTTTGTACATTTTAAAGATAAATTCATTAATCTGGTGCACTTTGAGTCACTCGAATCTGTTGTTAAAAATAAATAATAATCCACCCGCCAACCACCCATATTCTTTGATTTAGATATCTGCATCTGATCATCACATTACAATTATTCAATTAAGCATGATAATATGGTAACATATCACACAATTAACATTTATTTAAATTAAAAGTTCTTCTTTTGGCAAAATTACATTTTCTTTATAGCCTAAACAGAGGCTTTACTCCCTTTAAACTTATTGTCAATGTTTCATTTTTGAAAACACTCTTATCGGAATAATTTTTTGTACCTTTATAAAGGGCATTTTTCCCCTAATTTTATTTAATGTATGCTCTAAATTTCATTTAAAATTCTTACATTTTATCAATACATTCAATTAAAATAATAAGACACTAGGCTGTTACCAATCAAATTAAATAATTTACATTGAAAAATTATAACTGTATTAAATTAGATTATTTTGAATATTTTTTGAATATACAAGGAATGTTGAAAAGAATGATACTTTGAAACTAAACCGCCAGTAGGAGGCGGCAGGCGGCCGTCTTAATGAGCGAGTCATTGAGTCATTAATGTAAACGATTCGTTCAAACGGCTGATTGATTCAGAATGAGGCGGTTTAATAATGGGCAATTGAATCTTTGAATCAAGCAATTAGTTCAAAACGCTGAATGATTCAGTAATGAATCATGGATGAGTGTTGGTGTGAGACGCGATATGGTTCTGTTGTTTGGAACTATTTTCGCTGCTAAAACAGAACAAAAACAGTCTAAATATGTAAGTAACTTAATTTTAACTATTTGTTTATTGAACTGTTATGAAATTAATATCTCGGTTTCAATCGTGATGGCATTCAGGAAAACAGCACTCTGGTCGTGTGTAGCCTATAGCAGCTATATTGTTTCTTAACTATAGTTAATGTTATAAATAACTGCGCGAGACTCAACAGCGCAACTTTGTTACCGTCCGTACATTAGGTACCATGATGGGAGTTCCGTGTCTTTATTACATTTAGCTGTCATCCACCCTCGATTGAATGGAATGTTTTTATTACTCTGCCCGCTCGACCCGCGGATTATGATCCGTGCAGCACTATCGGCAAACTACACGGTTAGAGAATGGACACAAGCCGGAATCGCGACAGAACTGTCACGGTGGGAAAAGTCGTGTATATGAGCACGTGACTGTCTGTCCGAGTTTTGTCGAGAGGCGGAGGCGGCACGAAATTTCAGAAGTCGCCTCATAATTGTCTATGCAGGAAAACCCTGTATATTGTAAAAGCGACACAGAGATGGCGTTTTTAATAACCAACAGGTGAGTACGGTATTTTGATGAACAGATAAACTGTCATATGTCCTTGTAAAGAATTCTTTTTTTTTATTACGTATTATTTAGTAGCGTGTCTATTAATGGGTATAGCTATACTAACGTCTTCAGCTGACTAGCTTGAGGTCCTTTTATATCTAAACTGAATGTTTTATGAGCAGGAGAATATCCATATTCATCCGCACAGTCACGCAGAGCCGAAGCACAACCTCAACAATGTTCTTCCGCAAAATGCATGCAGTTTTGTTTTTGAACTGCTAGAGGGCCGAAAGTTTCATGGTGTACCTTTAATGTTTGATCAGTTATGTCCTGGTGCATGCTGGGAAGGGGAAAATGATGGATTGTTTTGTCTATGGTATGATATGGCACAATAATGGTGAATGACGCTGATGTTGTGGTATTTAAATGCCCTGTCATATTGCAGTTTTCTTGAATAAACTGAACAGTTCAGTCATCATTTACTCAACTTCTTCAACAGCTCTTTTTATGCAGTCAAAACAGCTGTCACACCATCATTTAAAGCACCATAAAAAGAGTCTGTACGACTTCTGAAGTCACTGTACAGTAGTGATGTCCGGAGGGGATATTTGTTTTAAATGACCCTATAATATGAGGGAAGAACAAACTCTAAACTTGGTTAAGGTATTTATCTGACAAAATTATTTGGTAAAAAAGGCAAACTACAGCTGCAGGTTATTATTATACTATATTATTATACTCACAGGAAAAAGCATACATTGACTACAGCATAGTAAGTTATTAATATTTCATTGCTTCTCTCATTTTTGCATGTTCATAATTTCTTTGTATGACAGCCTGGTCAAAAATGATGTCCACACTATTTCATTGCATTATCCCAAATAAAGCAATTGACTCCAAGCACAACTATGCAATATACTTACAAACTCTTTATCAAATGTTTTATAATATTTGAATTAAAGGTGAAGATGTCAGTTTTCTTAGGCCGGACATCACTTTTGGCCACTACTGTAGTAGTATGAAGCACTATTAGGTGCATTTTTTTGTCCTTTTTTAATAGCGTTTGATGATTATATGCTTTCGCTTTATGGAAAAGAACATGAAAATCCTGCAGAACATCATCTTTTCTGTTCCATGGAAGGAAAAAAGTCATACGGGTTTGGAAAGACATGAGGGTGAGTAAATGATGACATTTTTGGGTGAACCTTTTTTGATCTTAACATGGAAAAAAGAAACCGACTTCTTGGACGAAATATTATCCTGTGATGGACAGAAACTTGATTTCATCAGTGATATAATCCAGGACAGGGTCGTGTGGAAACTCTCAAACCAGAATGCCTTAAACAAATCAAATGAACACGACTTCACTAGCAGATCGTAAAAACGAGTCTCACTCTTACTTCTCTGTCTACACTGCACTTTTTATATACTGTAAAATAATAACGCTAAAATCAAATAATAAAATACTGTAGGAAGTCCTAATTGATTTAATAAAAAGCACAGATCATCTGCTAATTTGTCAGATATAAAGGTTTGTCACAAGCGAAGGGTGATAGACATACTAAACATTTCTAAAACTTGTCCATTTCTGGTTTTGATATTTGTCCTTATTCAAACATAAACCAGTGTCTTTTCTCTTATGTGGAAAGGCCATCTTCATCAATCATTTCCCAGAATTTGAGCCAAAGACAAAAAGCTACTAGATGCATGCAGCATTAGAGAGAAAAATCCAAACAATAAGAAACACAACAAATATGAACAAAACCAGCATGCGCACATTCAGAGCAACACAGGAAGCACAATTACCAGATTGTCACTAGCGCTCCGATGTGGCCGTCTCTTGCGTAGAAAATATCCCAGCACTTTGTCCTTAAAAACCTGCAAAATGAAAAATGGTGCCACATTCTTTACATATGTTGTCAGCAAATTACTGTTCATTATAAACGGGCCGAATATTATTTGTAATCTTGAGCGCATTACGGAAAAAAGCACAAATTAGACAAGCAGGAATGCAACGGACCTCATACAGATAATCAAATATCTCCAATATAGTCAAGACACTGGCTCCTATAAACAGACCCATCTGACCACCAATATCACCTGGAAGAATAGAAAAATATAATGAAATATTGAAGCAGAAGGCAACATGGATTGGCAATACAAGTAATAAGGCTGTTATTTTTCATAATGGTGTCGAATTTGCTCATTTTTGCGCACTTACCGAGTAATCCAGCAACTTCATACGCCTTCTTTTGTTCAATTTTCTCGTAGTTCAGAGCCTCAAAAAAGATATCCAGCACCAATATGTTGTCCCTGTAAAATGACAAATGACATAAAAGGACAGGTAAACCTTCCAGGATGTAAATAACAAACATCTCAGTGTGTAACTAACTTAATTTAAATGTAAACTCACGCAATGTACTGTTCCGTTTTGTTGAACTTCTTGGCAAGATATTTTGCAGAAGCTTTGCTGGGTATCTTCACCATGGACAGCTCTTTACCGTATCGAGTCATGTTGCATGGCGTCTCGCAAACGCAGTAATCGTTGTCCTTCTCCACAAGAAAATCTGTCAATTATTTGTTGTTGTTGTTATTATTATTAAAAAAGGAACATTAGCACAAGAAATCCAGAAGCATATTTTAATGGCATCATCCTATAGAAGCTGCAAAAGTCTGACATGGTCTTACACATTATTAGGTAGAGATAGAAATACAGTCGCGCATCACGGCACACAGCCTCTTACCTAAAGCTGGATCTGCACAGTCTTTGTACTGCTCGGGTGTGCAGACGGTGGAGGTGCCTGTGACAGATATTACAACACTTATAATAATACAATAACATAAAACAAAATACAGTACAATTGAGAATAAAATTCTGTGAGTGTGAATAAGAAAGCGTGGAGAAAGATTTTACATTTATAAATAAAACTTTTTTTTTTTATAAATAAAATAACAAAAAATAAGCAAGTATGAGGAGTGATTGTATAAAAACATGGAGGTTTTTTTTATAAAATAAAAAATATATATATAAAAAAATAAAACTTGGTACAATTGAGAATAAAATTCTGTAGGAGTGAAAAAACGATTTTTCGTGAGGAAAGATTTTACATTTATAAATAAAACATTTTTTTTTATAAATAAAATAACAAAAAATAAGCAAGTATGAGGAGTGATTGTATAAAAACATGGAGGTTTTTTTTATAAAATAAAAAATATATATACAAAAATAAAACTTGGTACAATTGAGAATACAATTCTGTAGGTGTGAAAAAGCAAGATTTTACATTTATAAATAAAACTTTTTTTAAATAAAATAACAAAAAATAAGCAAGTATGAGGAGTGATTGTATAAAAACATGGAGAGGATTTTTTTTATAAAGTAAAAAATATATATATATATACAAAAATAAAACTTGGTACAATTGAGAATACAATTCTGTAGGTGTGAAAAATCAAGCGTGAGGAAAGATTTTACATTTATAAATAAAACATTTTTTTTATAAATAAAATAACAAAAAATAAGCAAGTATGAGGAGTGATTGTATAAAAACATGGAGGTTTTTTTTTATAAAATAAAAAATATATATACAAAAATAAAACTTGGTACAATTGAGAATACAATTCTGTAGGTGTGAAAAAGCAAGATTTTACATTTATAAATAAAACAATTTTTAAATAAAATAACAAAAAATAAGCAAGTATGAGGAGTGATTGTATAAAAACATGGAGTGGATTTTTTTTATAAAGTAAAAAATATATATATATACAAAAATAAAACTTGGTACAATTGAGAATACAATTCTGTAGGTGTGAAAAAGCAAGCGTGAGGAAAGATTTTACATTTATAAAATAAATTAAAATAAAATAGATAACTAAAAATCTGTAGGCGTGAATAAGTAAGTGTGAGGAGTGATTGTATAAAAACATGAGTGATTTGTTCAAAAATAAAATAAAATAAAAACAAAACTAGGTGAAATTAAGATGAAAACTTGGTAGGTGTGAAAAAGCAAGCATGAGGAGTCATATTTGTTAAAAAATAAAAAAATAAAATAAAATAAATCTAGGTACAATTACGAATCAAATTATGTAAGTGTGAATAAGCAAGAGTGAGGAAAGATTTTACATCTATAAAATATTGAAAATTGAGAATAAAATTCTGTAGGTGTGAATAAGCAAGCACAAGGAGTGTATTTATTATTATAAACAAAATAATAAAATATTAAAATGAATTAAAAATTTAAGAAAATGCATATAAAGATCTATCAAAGAATTTTTTTTAAAAAACCTCTTAATATGGGCACTGAAATAAAAATGTGCTACTTTTGCGTGTAATACATTCAAAATATGAAGATATGGTGAATCTTCTTGCTTTTAATTCTACAGTGGATTTGCGTTGAAATGCTGAGAGCAGTAAAGTTCAGGTCTGTTGTGTCCGCACCTGGCATGTGCACCATTCTGCAGTTGCAGTTTTCCAGCAGGTAGCGGGTCTCGCAGTCGATGCGACAGGCTGTGATGCTGTAGGTGGAGAAGTATTCAGAGTCCATCGGGGTGGACCTGCAGTCGCCCCACGGCGGAGGGAGATACTGGAGCTACGGCAGAAACCTTTATTCATTACTGGAAGGATAAAGCTGTTCAATAACAAATCATAACACACTAAACCGAGCCAAAGAGCGCAGCAATCAAAGGACTAACAGCAGAGGACATCAGCGGAATATAATAAAACCCACAGTGCAATCAGACACTTTTCACACTGTAGAAAAGCATGGGGGTTATGAATGCAATATTCCACAGAAAGAAACATGCTGGAAATCAGTGTTAGGTAAAACCTGAAGAAAACCAGAGATATACGAACTGACCTGCTGTTGCTAGCTCAAACAAGCTTTATAGGAATGGATGTTTTTAAAAATATATATATATTTATACATTTTTTAATTCGTTTTTGTAGATAAAAACACTTTATCTACTTTAAAAAATTTTTTTTTATAAATTGTTCAATTGCACAGTAACATGACCGAAACCTGCAGCGACTGCGAATCAGAATTGAGTCGAGAGCTTCTCACAATCAATTGAAAAGAGAAAAGCCTCATTAGAAAGTGATTACACTCTTCAGTTACAACCAGCTCTCTAATGACCATAATCAATATGCAAATACATTTTTAAAAGGGTAATCTGGTCCAGGGTGCAAGTTCACCAGTAACATTTGACCATTGCATATTATGCACTTCTGATTAAATTTAAGAGCCTTTTAATAAGAATCGGATAAAAAATATAATTGGATTTTATATCATTTTGCATATCTAATGGCACCAGTAGAGAAGATAATCCTCCCATTAAATGAAGTCACTTTTTGAAGCATCACATAATACATGCGTTTATGATGGATTCAGAGAGCTTTGATGTTAAAAAGGAAGAGGAAGTAGAAAATGTAGGTCATGAAATTGAAAGCAAGATTAGAAGCGTGCGGTAGCCTTTAGCACTTGATTATTTCAGCTAATTGATCTATTGCTAAGGGTCGATGAATGAAGACATATTGATCTTGGCAGCGAGAGCTGCTTCTGCCTTTGATCCACTGAAGGCTGTAAACGAGAGCTTTTCTTGACCTCCTGCCAATTAGTTCTGCTTAGAAACTGAGTCCGATACTCCTGAGGAGTCACGTGACCTCAGCGCATATACAAATAAACACTCAACTCAATAACAATAACACTATGGAGGACTAGGAGTGACACTTAAAAATGTATCGATTTTAAATGCACAAATTAACAGACATTTAAAACGGTTTATAAATATTTGTTTAAATTGTATTGAAACAAAATAAAACAAATGATTTTATTTCTTAAAACATGTCATTATTATTTCCCACTAGATCTCTACTGTCACATTACTCTTAGTTTGCTAGATAAATTGTAGCAAATAGTAAGATCATAATGTCCAGTAATACTTAAAAATATTATAATAGCTTAAAATAACTGTTTTTTACTTGAATATATTTATGAATATAATTTATTTCTGTTAAAAAAAGATTAATTATTATTCCACTCCCTATCTAGTGTACTCCCTATCTAGTGTACTTCACTATCTAGTGTACTACACTACCTAGTGCACTCCCTATCTAGTGGACCATCTAGTGTACTCCCTATCTAGTGTACTTCACCATCTAGTGTACTCCCTATCTAGTGTATTCCCTATCTAGTGTATTCCCTATCTAGTGTACTCCCTATCTAGTGTACTCCCTATCTAGTGTACTCCCTATCTAGTGTACTCCCTATCTAGTGTACTTCACTATCTAGTGCACTCCCTATTCAGAGAGCTTTGATGTTAAAAGGGAAGAGGAAGTAGAAAATGAAGTAGACATTTAAAACTGTTTATAAATATTTGTTTAATATTATAAAACAAATGATTTTATTTCTTAAAACATGTCATTATTATTTCCCACTAGATCTCTACTGTCACATTACTCTTAGTTTGCTAGATAAATTGTAGCAAATAGTAAGATCATAATGTCCAGTAATACTTAAAAATGTCCTTCAGAATCTTGATAAGTAAGAGTACTGGTCGGGTTGGTACAAGGCTCTCTACCGATCAAAGGTTTGGGGTCGGTAAGCCTCTTCTGCTCACCAAGGCTGCATTTATTTGATCAAAAATAAAGTAAAAACAGTATATTGTGAAATATAATTATAACTTAAAATAACTGTTTTCTATTTAAATATATTTATAAATATAATTTATTTCTGGTTATGCAAAAGCTGACTTTTCAGCATCATTACACCAGTCTTCAGTGTCACATGATCCTTCAGAAATCATTCTAAAATGAAAAATCACTTCGATTTTTTGTCAGGATTCTTTAACATAAATTTCAAAAGAATGGCAATTAAAGTATTAATTTCTTTAAAAAAAAAAAAAACATAACGTTCTAACTGTAGTGTATGTAAAACCTGACTTGATTCTGGACACAAGAGTCTGGTTTTCTCCAGGTTTAAAGAGATGTTGGTGTGGATGGATAGGTCAGCTGATATGAGGACATGTGATAAATGCAATACGTTGAGCATTAGGTACCAGTTGCTGCTGACAAGACACAAAAGTTTGAAAACCAGGGGCCACACCAAATCCCAGCTGATCTATGAAGGGCGGCTCATCCTGGCTGTGGATCTGAACTTTGATGCCGGCTTCGTATGAGGTTTCGTCTGTGAGGAGACATTAAGCAAGATTATTTACAGAGCGGGAGATTTGACGTCTACTGCCTCGAGGCAAAAAATATAATGACTTTATAATGAACTTTATAATTACATTATCCAGAATGCCAATACATGTTTCTTTACTGCTTCCATATTGCCTCTGGATATAAAGTCTCCTCTAGAGCCATTGAAATTACCAAGATTAATAGATTATAAATACATAATCTTCACTAGCATGCAAGTGCATCAATTCTGAGCACTGACCGCATGTCATCTACAGCAGATTAAACTGCACTTTGATATTCGTAACTCTTTTGGTTTTGTATTTATTTTCCGTGCATGATTATGGTGAGAAATTACAGCATGCCACAGAAAATGAATGAGGCAGTAATGGGACAGGTGTACTCTAAAAAACACACCAAGAGGGAGTCCTAACCTTATTATCTCAGCATCTAAACGTTCTACCACAAGTTAAATCATTTTGGTGCGCACACTTATGGGTAAATTATGCTAATGTGCAATTCCTTCCGATATGATGTACAACCCATATCTTGTCTTTTTTAAATATAATTTTTGGACATAGTTGGAACATAACTCTACCAAGGAACTTATATTATATAAAATATGGCAGCATTTCAACCCCAGAGTGATACATACTGTCGTAAGGTTTCATTAAAAGTGCCCTTATTATGCTTTTTCCAATATTTCCTTTTATGCAGTGAGTAATATAGCTGTTTGTGCATGACAAATAAAGTTATTGGCTTCCAAAATAAAGAGCCGATTCTGAACTGTCATCAGCAATTCCTGTAACAAAACCATTAAATCAAAATTAGGAACCTTCAATATAGCATAATAGGGGCACTTTAAAGCATCATCTATGTAACTTTCTGTCTGAAACTTTTGAATCGATACAATTATTGAAGAGGCACTGTGATTTGCATTTACATAAATTATGCAAAACACATCACTGACGTCTTTTATGTCTAATATATTGCTTACCCGTGTCACCCCAAACTGGCAAGTACTCATCCTGTTGAATATCCAGCATGATTTCCAGCCCATTCCCCGTTCCGCCTTTTAAAGTCGTCAACAACGGGTTTCCATCTAGACCAGAGTTGAACGTGTAACATTTCCCGTATCTGGTGTAAATCTGTGGGAGGACAGTATAAAAAAACACACACAAAAGAACAATAGTATAATATATGAAATATAGTTTTATGTAAATGTATATACAGACACACTACCGTTTAAAAGTTTGGGGGCAGTGCGTTGTTTTAATCAATACTTTAATTCAGAAAGAAAATGCACAAATAAATGGGGTTCATCAAATCAAAAAATGTGTCACGATTTCCACAAAAATATGAAGCAGCACAACTGTTTTCAACACTGATAATAAGGAATGTTTCTTGAGCATCAAATCATCATATTAGACTAATTTCTGAAGGATCATGTGACACTGAAGACTGGAGTAATGATGCTGAAAATCCAGCTTTGATCACAGGAATAAATTACATTTTACAATATATTCAAATAGACAGCTGTTCTTTTAAATTGTAATAATATTTCACAATATTATGCTACTGTTTTTTACTGTACTTTTGATTAAAATACATACAATATTGGAGCAGAAGAGGCTTCTGTCAAAAACAAACAAAAAAATATCTCATTTTTGAACGGTAGTAACGATTGAACGCTAGCCTGGTTAAAACCAGACCATTCTCAGTTGTAACCGTAACTGAGTTATGGTCTGGCAAAGCGTCGTAGACAAATCAATTCCAGAGGGGCGTCACCAACGGACGTCGCGGATAGACCTAAACCCAATCAGAGCGATGAAGGAGATGACGTATGCAGAGCGGCGGAGAAACATCTCCGAGTGTTGTTCTTTGCTCGGTTTTTAACAGAAAGGAAACGTTCAAATCGCTTAAAACAGACGCGATGGCTGATTCGAACGAGTGATGTTCGACGGCGGCATCCATCTCTGTAATGTAGGCTACAAAATCTGCTTCAAAATCCCAGCGCTGTCGTCATCATGTAAAGCCCGCCCCAACGTTTCTGATTGGTGCCTCGATTTCGACGGATTGGAAATGGGCTTGAATGAGCTCTTTGCCAGACTAACTTTCAGAGCAAATCTAAATTTCCCGGAAGTTGTCTGGGTTTTCCCAGGCTAGATAGTATATATAATGCAATCGAATCAATTATATGATATGCTGACTGCAACCCCTCACACATTCAAAGCAAAAAGAAAAAGGGTTGATGTCGCCACTTTCACTGAAAGGAAATCCAATTAACTGACAGCATTTTGAAAGAACAGGCTTCATCCCTTTGCAGATAATAGCTGCTGAAATATGATGGTCTTGGCAGTGTTTCGACAGTGATGAAGCGAGAGACACTGGTCACACAGATGAGTTCAGTCATGGTTTCATGACCCCGCTGTGACACTAATGAGCGGTAGATCGTTCAGCTCTAGAGCTTCAACAAGGACTGTCTCACACACGCGGGAAACAAGCTAGACCTCGACAGCACAAAATACTGAAACAAAAAGGTAAAGCTACATTTCGCCCGTTTCATCCATGTGGGTTCTGAGGCATTTCAACATGAGAATGATAAAAGCATGAAAAATTAAGGGCAAACAGTGCAGTTAAAGATAAACATCTGTTGTACTGAAAGATGATTCACTTTTAAAGTAGTAGTTCACGCTTCACTCTAAAAAATGCTGGGTTGTTTCAACCCAAATTTGGGTCAAATATGGACAAACTTAAATGTTGGGTTAAAAATGTAATTAAAAAATTTACAGTTGAAAGTGAAAGTTGAAGTTGGGTTGAAATTTTAAATTACATTTTTAACCCAACATTTCGGTTGGTTCATATTTGACCCAAATTTGGGTTAAAACAACCCAGCATTGTTTAGAGTGTAAAATTAAAATAAAGTCATAATTTACTCACGCTTGGATTGTTCTATTGTGTCTTTCTTTTATTGACCACAAAATGAGAAGAAAAAAAAAAGTCCCACTCACATGTAATGGCAGTGAATAGCGACAAGCATCAAGCTTTTTTTTTTTTTTTTAAAGATGCAAAAGTATCACAGAATGATCCCATGTGACACGTGTCATATATTCAACGTGTTCTGGGGGTATATGATAGGGTTTGCTGAAAAACACACCTATTATTTAAAGAAAATCCTGACCTTAGGCATTGGTCTTCTGTGCTCGATTGCACATTAATGAGACTCTATGACCACAGTTCACTCCGTCTCTTCCAGACAAAGCACACGAGTTGTGAGAAAACAAGATTAACAAAAACGCAACATGAAATACAATCCATGTACCTTCTTCTCTGAGGTGAATATATCTTCGTTGTGCTCATCATAACGAAGTTATCGATGTTCACATCTGTCAGCAGTGATTCCGACTGTCATCAGACATATGGAGTTTCAGAGATATTTAACTCAGAGAAAAAAATACACGGATACTTTTTTGGGATTTCAAGGTTGTATTTGTTTGTTTTTTTAATCATCTTGATTTCTCACAACTTGCGTGCTTTTTCTGGGGAAGATGGAGTGAACTGTGGCACTAACAGTCTCACGAAGGCTTAGCCATGCACAGAAGATCAATGGCCAAGGTCAGGATTTTCGTTATATAATAGGCTACATTAAATTTTGGTTTGTTTTTGGTCGCTATTCACTGCCATTATATGGACTACGCGAGCGGGACACTTTTAAAAAAAATTCTCCTTTTGTGGTCAGAAAAGGAAAGAAGGGCAAAAAGCAATAGAACAAGCAGGTCGAGTAAATGATGACTTACGTTTAAGTGAACTATCCCTTTAAAATATGTTCAACTATGCCAGTTAAATCTACACAGATTACTTTAAGTAAGCCATTTATACGTTTTCGTTCAAAAGAACTGCAGTTGCATACAAACACACTAAACTACTCAGAAACCCTTAGCAACTGCATAGCAACACCCTGACAACCACCAATAACACTATAGTAAATGAACACAAATACACTAAACTATTCAGAACACCTGCAATGCTCTAGCAACCTTCCAAAAACACCCTAGCAACTAGCCAACTACATACAAAAACATTAAGCTACTCAGAACACCATTTAAACTGCATAGCAACACCCTGACAATCTCCCAGAACACCTTGGCAACCACATGGCAAACAATACACTATAGTCAGAATATAACAATTTAGCAACCTTAATCAAACACACAGACATGCTATACAACTCAAAACATCTTAGCAACTGCATAGCAACACCAGGGCAACCTCACAGAGCACCCAGGCAACTGCATACAAAGGTTATTTTTTATACAAAAATTATTCAGAAATCCTTAGAAACTGCATAGCAACACCCTGACAACCTTGCAGAAAAGCCAAGCAAACACTCATAGAAATTGCAGAGAAACACCCTGACAACTTCCCAGAACACCCTGACAAGTCCATGCAAACACTAAACTACTCAGAATACCTTAGCAACACCCTAGAAAACACAAACAAACATGCTATGCTCTGAACATTTTAGAACTGCATAGTAACACCTGGACAACCTCAGAGCACACAAACAACTACATAAAACATTCTAAAAATTACTTCGTTCGAATTCCTACGCAACTGCATAGCAACAACCTAGCAAACATACAAACACATTAAACTACTCAGTATACTTTAACAATTGCATAGCAACACCCTACACTATACTGCTCAGAACGCCTTAAGCCCCGTTCACACTACAAGCGACTTTGTCGCTGCATGTCGCCAGTGGCTGGCGATGAGGTCGCTAGTGGGAGTTCCCACTACTGGTTGCCTTTATGAATTACATCCAATGATGTGGAGAAGGATCATACGCGCTCCGCTCCTATTGGTTGTCGCTCCCGAAAGTCGCTTCTCATTTGCATAAAGTTAAACAGATCTCAACTTTGTCGCGTCGCCAGACACGCCCCATCCGGTCGCCAACGGTCGCTGTCGCGCGTGTCGCCGGAAATCGCCAGCTCCCCATTGAAATGAATGGTATCGCGTCGCTTGGTCGCGTGTAGTGTGAACGGGGCTTTAACAACTGCAACCTTTCAAAACGCACTAGCAACTGCATAAACACACTACTACTTACTACAAACTACTTAGAATACATTAGCAATTGCATAGCAACACCCTAGCAACCACAAACAAACATGCTTTACTACTCAGAATGCCTTGGCAACTGCAACCTTGCAAAACACCCTAGCAACTGCATAAGCACACTAAATTAAACCTCCCAAAAAGCACTCTGGCAGTGTTTTGCACGGGCAAGATGATGTTAAAATCTATTCATTTTTGCAATTTTGCTCAGTGTCACAAGATTGTACACTTGACCTTTAAAAGAGGACATTCAATCAAACGAATCAGTCTGACACTATCACACCTACGATCGTTATGTTCCCACATTCTTATCAAGCATCTGAAGAGTAAGATGGTTATGATTATCTCAAAATCTCAATTAACACGAAAGTGCTGTGAGCTAAAAATGAAACGTTGTTGTCAGCATGTCGATGCATCACAGAGGATTTGTGTTTGCCATGCCGAGATCACGGTTTACCAAAACACATCGAATGAGCACATTGTTTTCCAACAATAGTTGAAGCCTCTCTCTCCTCCCTGTTTCCCAAGTAATTAACTTCATTCATTCTGAAGGGAAGCGCACCGCACCAGGCGAGAACTCATTTAGACTGATGATTCAGAGCTTTGTGCATATGTAATCTGCAAGTGAGCGCAGATTCATGGAAAGCAGTCTTGTTGATTTCACATCAGATTCTAGCAATGCGTACAATTTCATATGCTTAAACACTGGAAGGGTTTGGGGGATTATAAGAGGTAGATTGGTTTTCTATCTGATAATGAAGAAAAAGAGGATCAAGATACTGAGCAATGGAGTTTAGCTGGAGGCAGGTTTTAAGCACATCTGTGCAAAGCACCCAGAGCTTTTTAATAATTCATGCGTCTTCCACACAGAAATTTGTCAGAGAGCAGTTTCTGTGCCAGTAGATGTTACTGAGATTTTTCGCCTCAGGGTTTCTGTGAACAGTCCTCTAAACCTGCCACACGTTTCTACAAAATAAAAATAAAAATAAAAAAAGAGATAACTTAATGTTGACGCTGATGACAAATGCGGCCAGCAATTTTGTAAATAAATGATTGGAAGTGAACATTTTACATAAAGGGGTCATTGAATGCAAAATTCACTTTTATATGGTGTTTGCATATGTGTCTTTGCAGTGTGTCGACACAACCACCATACAATGAAAAAAATCAATTCACTCCTTTTTTTTTTATCCTCAAAAAGTCTAAACACTTTCAATAATCAAGCCGTTTGGATTTTCTAAGCAATATGATGTCATATTGCTCATGCTCCGCCCACGACCACTGTCCTGTATTAGCATATTTCCTCCCTCAGCCATTTGTATACTTTCTGCCCATAGACTGTAAAAAAAAAAAAAAAAAAAGTTTCTGCGGAGCAGGTTGCCATGGCAGCACTTTATGTGTCTTGTGTGACACACCTCAGGGAAAAGAGGGGTGGGGCGAGCAGTTGCTCATTATCATTTAAAGAGACATGCACCGAAACGGGTCGCTGTGAAAAGAGCTGTCTTTGAGGTGGTAAAAGGGTGTTGTTTTACACAACCATTGAGGAATTTTAACCAAAGTATGTTACAAACTTTACATGAACACCCTAAAGAATCACACCAACTTGTGGAAAATGGGCATCCGATGAACCCTTTAAGAAAACATACACAGGTGAATCTGGGTGAAAACCTGTAATGAGCGGCTCATATTTTACCCCAAAATCACAACTGATTTTCATTCTGTAAAGCAAAAAATTCTCATTCTTGTGACTTAATGCATAAAAATATTCTATATAATAAAATAAATGACAAAAATATGAAAAATACATTATATGAAATTTATCTTACATTTATGATATTTAAAAAAAATATATATATACTGTATACATACTGGCAGTGTTTGTCAATTCATGCTTATTTTTTTAGTACTGTCACTAACTTGTGTGTAGGTATGCGCGTGTGTGTGTATATATACACACATACACAAAACATGCATGTTCATACATACATGTACACACACACACACTTTACAAACTTTAATGTTAAATGCAATTCATCGATTTGACAGCACTATTAGTTTTAAATATATTACTGCATTTATAGTAGGAAAAAGTGAATAAAAAGTTTTTAAAAAAAGACTACAGTAATGAGATTCGGATGAAAACTGCCATTGAGAATAATGGTAATGCAACGCAAAAGAATATTTCACTTCAAAAATTCCAAAAGCACATAAATAGAATTATTATTATTTTGTACCCCTTTTTTATGTGACCTTTTTTTCCATGAGATTTAGCCACACACACACATTGCTGCAGTGGAAATGGTTTTGCCATCTCTTCCGACAGACTCTAAGCTGTTAAAATAGGAATCGCTCTCATTTCTAATCCATTTAAACACCTTGCCCTGTGCTTTTCCCAGAAGACACAACTAGGCATTCTTAGAAACACAAAACCCCTCAGCTAGATTTATTCAGGTAGACTAATAATTAATTGCTTTAAGTCAGAGCTTTGATTTATTACAACTGTGAATTGTTTTACTGGTTTATCCAGAGCAACGGATGTTAAATACAAATGTGGCATCGGTTTAAACTTGCTAGTGTCTGAAAGTGCAAAGCATGACCGTGATGTTTACATACAGGGCTGAAGTTCTTGTAAGTGCAGTTTTCACCCCGGAACCTGCATTCCAGCAGCATGTCTTCTAATTGGTGGCCCAGCCTGTCAATCATCTCTGTGGTGTTGAGCTGGTGGTCAGGAGGCGGGCTGTAGTTGGAGAAGTCCAGAAGATGCAGCAGCTTCTCGCCGTGTCGGCTGTGTTTGAGCATAGAAACGCTCTGTCGGTTGACCGTGTGGTTCAGGTGCATGATGTCCATCCAGTAGCCGCTGTGGTAGATGTCTGCTTTGGTGAGGTTGGACACGCGGAGGAGGTTCTGGTTGCAGAACGTAACGGCCGGAAACGTCATGTTGCGAGTCCAAACCATGTAGATCTTGGTCACGGCTGGGTAGGAAAGAAGATACAGGATTCGATTCCACGACCACGTGAAGAGAAGCCCCAGGCAAACACAGAGGGCCAGGAGCCATAACAAGCGCTGGAGTTTAGATTTGTTTGGTGAGAATACGTGTTTCAGCCCATGGACTTTTGTTCGAAGAACAAACGCAGTTGTAACGTCCTTAGCGCTGTGGGTTAAAGTCATTCTGAGTCTCCTCCGGCTGCTGCGTGTCTTGGCATCATCCATCACAGAGTCTTTGTTTATTGCCTCCTGATCGGACGCGGACATCTCCTCCATAGTGCTGTTAAACTCTTTCAAAATGCATCATGCATCAATACGGTCTCAATGAAGAAATATGATCCTGTGATTAAAGATAATCACATGAATCAAACCAGGGTAACACTTTATAGTGTCCTTGTTACACGTTACATGTACTTACCATAGTAAATTATGCATAATTACATGCAACTAACCTTCAATCAAACCCTAATCCTACCCAAACACTATAGTAAGTACATGTTGCTAATTAATATTACTCAGTACTTAAATCTATAATTACACTGTAACAATGACACCACCTTAAAATAAAGTGTAACCCAAACCAGCAATAAAAAACATTTACACATTAGTTGCATGAACTGACAACTAACAGTTGTGTTTTTATTAAATAACATTAAAAAACTTTAATAAATACTATAACAAATGTACTGCTCATTGTTAGTTAATGTTATTTTGGATTCATAAACAGATGTAACTTTTAATTTTGATAATGTATCAGTACATTTTGACGTTAATATTAACTTAGATTATTAAGTGTTTCATTTCATGTTCAGTAATGTAGTTACACTAATGGAGCAAAATTCCAATGAATTCATTAAGCTTTATTATTCTATATCATTGCCAGTCCATGCAAAGGAAAACTATATAAATAAAAGGTAAAAAAAAAAAGATTTGTACATTACCAAGCTGTAATCCAACAAAGCTCAATAAGATAAATACAGCTAATGTCAGTCTCATTCACAGCGTAGTTTCTGCAGGATCCTCAGGTTGATTCGTCTTTCAGTGAAGCTGTTTGAACAGATCAGATTGAGTTTTTCCTCTCATCTTTCACCTCTTCTCTCTTCTTCGGCTTTCGGATTTTTTTTTGTACAGAACAACTATGTGAGGCTGGCTGCAGATTCTTGTTGCTTTCCTCTTTGTGTGAGAGCGCTCGGCCCCTCCCGCTCCGCTCAAATTATTCTGTCGATGGATTTGCAGCAGGCATATGGATCCATTTGTCCCTGTTTCTTGCATTCCTGAATCAGGAAACCCAGAAGCTTGAATATTTCTTGTATTAAAGTAGAAAAATGGCCAACTAAGAGAGAGATACCCAGAGGCCATGTTATTTATCAGACCTGTTTTTTCTGTCGACATTGATGCTTATGGGAGCCTTTCACAGTTGTTTATTTTACATTAACATTAATAGTATCCTCACGGGACATAATCAGTCACATATATAAATGTACATGTGCATTAGTGGGTCAGATGAGGTCAGGTAAACTTGTTTATGTTGTGCATGACGAAAAAGTGGACATGCAGCTGATCATTCCTTTACAAAATCCTGTGCTGACACCTGTAGGACATCATAAACTGATATTTTATGATGTATGATACATACACAACTATTTTCATGATTTGTTTTCACAACGTATCTTTTGTCACATCAACTTAGATAACTAATGTGGTTCAGATAACAGTATTTTGAGTTTCTATTTATTAAACCAATATCCTTCATTGTATTAACTCAAACTTTTGAGTTCATTGAAATTTAAAAAATTAAGGCAACCAGGTAACTTACATTTTTAAGTTAAACCAACAATATATTTTTTACATTGAGTCTACATGTACAGTAGGGTCCAAAAACTCTGAGATCACATTGAAAATCCGGGATTTGTTTTTTATTTGAACCTGAAAAAAGCCAAAAATTCTATCTGATCTTTTCACTCACATTATTATGATAATATAATTTGTAGAAAGAAAAAGGAAAAACCTGCAAAATGATTCACAAGTAATCTCAGAGGTTATCATGTACAATCTACCATGTTTTCAGGCTGTTAATGCATTGAAATAAAAACACCAGGCGAGTGTTTCCATTCATTCTCATCCATAAAACCCTGGTTAAATTAATATTTATGCTTGTGCTTTATTATTTTGTTACTCAATCAACTTCCTTGCCTTCCTGAATGGAAAAGCCCATAAATATGACCTATAACCAAGTTAATTTCAGGCATCAGTGACATTATCAGCCTCGGCTGCAGTGTTTTGTGCTCTGACTGAATGCCATCAAATACTCATCTGATCAAGAACTGCTTCAGGTAAATAGTTGAATGCCTTCAAAATCAAGGGGCATTCAAAGGGCATTTTGGCGCATAAAAATCCCCTCTCTTTTAACCATTTATCAGCGCAAATGAAAAAAGTTTTTGAAGATTGCATTCTGCCCTCATTCGCCTGTCATTGCATCTGATCAGCCCCAGAATAACCAACCCAGTTTATCATGCTTCTTGTATCAGCCACTGACTATCTGCATGAAGAACAGCCCACTTGGACAGAAAGAGACAGATCATCTGACCTAAATGTAATTCAACCAACCACAGTTTCTGTGTCATTTAGAGGATGCCACAATAATAAACTCTAATGGAAAACTAAAAAACACCTAGTCATCGTGATGAGATATTATACAAAATATAGAGACTATTTTATAGGCAAATATAAATACCCATAGATATTGCTTGCCAATACAAGCCCCAAACAACGCTATGGCCTGCATGGTTTCACAGACAGGGCTTAGATTAAGTCAGGATTAGACCTTAGTTCAATTAGGATATTTAAAAAGATTTTATAAACGTGCCTAACAGTAAAAAGCATTACTGGTGTGCATCTTGAGACAAACCAATGATATTTCAGTGCAAGTTGCTTTAAGCTAAAACAGCTCAAACATGCATTTTAGTCTAGGCCTGACCATGCAACCTTTGCCGTGATTATTTCTTCCTAAAAATCACAAATTATTAATAACTCCATATAGCCTGCTTACTCCAAAAGCTATGAAACTGGTTCAGTATCGCTTGAGCTTATTAGAGCTGAAAATACATTAAATTCCTCTTCTATTCAATAACATTTCTACAGCTTTTACATTTTTTTTTTTATCTGAGTCAAGGGCAGAATCATGGTTTCATAATATTCCAGCTGCAATCCATAATATTTCATTCCTGTGTTTATTTACTGTGTGGTCAGGATTGAAGAACTATCTGTATGTCTTGCTCAGGAAACATTTTTCAGTGAAGGCTGATATAAATATAGATGAGAGTCGGGTCTCTCAGTGGAGGCTAATTTTCTCCCAGTTACACTGGAGCCACAGTCAATATTTCTCTGTCTAGGGTCATTAAGCCTCGTGGATTAATACATCTTTCAGAGGCAAAACTGCAAGAACTTCAAAAACCAGCCAGTTTTGTGGTGCGTCGAATATGTATTCCCATAAACTAAGATCGTTATCTTATTCCTCTGAGCTCAATTTCAAAAATAATAATCAGATGGAAAACTTACATTTTGGTCATAAAACGAGTGTGAAACTCATGCTTTCTGACTGCCAGTTCATTCCAACTGGAACTATCAGTTCTCAAACATTATTAGATGATGCCATTCGTCCACTAATCACATTAAAGGTGACACGAATAAATCAAAATAACTCCCAAAGTCGAAGTGCTCAGCCACTTTCCATTAGTTTAGTAAGCAAAAGCTTTTCACTGTATTATTCTTCCACGATCATTGGCAAAAAAATGTCACCTCTTGCATTTTTACAGAAGTTGTAATAAATCAAAGTTGTTGCATTTTCCATATCTGCAGAATTGAAGCGTCTCCCGTTCAAGACCCCAACACATCCTTTGCCTTTTACATGTTTGATTATTAAACATGTAGGCAAATGTTGATCGTGCTTTCAGCTACCAATAATTGATTGATTTTACCATTGACACAATTGAATTTTAAATTAATTCCACAGAATTCCCCACCAAAAAACATCCACAGATTGCATCTTGCATCTTATCATGCTTTAGGTCTTCCAGCATGACAAACTCCAAATTTAAAGCAAGCATCTAATGGTTGAAAATAAATCATTGGCCTTTTTTGAAGTGGCAAGCAATAAAGTTTTGATCCCATCATTGAATACAAATGAAGAGACCCGAAAACAGCAGTCAAAAGTTGGAAGCCTTTAAATCTGGAGCATTTTGCAGAAGAAGAATGACGAAACTGCTAGAACAGAGATGTAGTCCGAAGCCAGAACAATCAAACATGAAATCTAGTGTGTCCAGACCATTATTCGTGTATTTTTGGTTCACTGCACTAAGGAAATAAAGCTGTTGATGAATTCCTTGAAAAATATGCCAATATTTTTGGCCATGAGTGTGCAAGGATGATTCCCTCTACAACAGCTCAGGGTTAAAAGCCTTGTTTATTGGTATGTGATGATGGTTCATGAATCACCGGGTCTTAAAAGCCAGATCTTTAACCGCTAAACACACCACCATCAGATACACTCCTCCTTAGTGAGGGTATAGCTGAAAGAGATATGATGATGGCTGAGCAATCACGCAGACAGCTCTAAATATGCCTGGGACCGTTTCTACCTGTCCCGCTGTCAATTCCCATTGCACATCATGGACATTTATGACAGAACTGAGCAATTACGGCTGGAATACTGCTGAACTGGATCAGCGAGTGACAAACGATTCTGTTACACAGTCTCGGATCACTGGATTATTAAACGAATCATTGTCTAATGCCAAGTGCAAAATTGACATATTTACAGTCTGTAAACGTATAAGATTTACAACCGTTTGGTAATGTACCACAGCGCTAAAAACTTTAATTATCAAGGAGTATCAGGGAATAAATCACCTGACCAACCTTTACAGATCATCTGTGAATTACAATCTTCATCTGCTTTTAAATTAGTCCCTTTTCTCAGGGTACGATCTGTTAATGTCCCGAAGGACATCTGCTGGTTCTGTCATGCATAATTCCATTAAAGCAGCACTGTGAACTTTATATGAGATTTCATTCAATAAAATACACGTGCTTAAGCACTGATTTGAAAACAGAATTTAAATGAGCTTGAGTGGAGCAATAAGCACTACTGCTGGGTCGCTAGAGCAAATGACTGTTTATGTGTATTAATTTTTTAACCAAGTGCTTATTCTGTTAGTTTCTCCTTTTCAAAAATTCATAATCACAGCTACTATACACAAAAATAACCCTAACCTAAATAACTTTAGGATTTTTTTTCTTGTCCCAAAATATGACAACAAAACCAATACTGAATTTCAATACTGTTTGTGTAAAGAATGTAGAAGTTAAAAAAGATTAAAAACAATTTCTAAAAATTACCCCAAGGATGGATTAAAGTCATCAGAGTAAAAAAGCCACCATGCAGGCAATAGTGAAATACTGTATATACTGTGTGTGTGTATATATATATACACACACACACACATTTAAGCTGTCAATCGATTAAAAAAATTAACTATTTAAATTGTACATCTGTCTTAAACTAATCGCGATTAATCATACCTAACATTAAAATGTTAATTATATTTTCATGGAATCTCTTTAGTACTATGAATGAAGGGCAGTATCGCCGATAACAATACAGATACTGATGTAAATGGATTTTTCTCAATTTCTGGGGATTAAATGAGTAATTATAGCCATTCAAACATTAAAGTATGATTGAGAGGCATCATTTTTTGTGTAATAGGCTTTAAAAAAATATAACAGCTTTTTATTTAAATGAACTTCACATAAACCTATGGTAACACTTTACAAAGAGGTTCCATTAGTTAGTTAATGCATGAACTAATATTAACTAATGAGCAATACACTTGTTACAGTACTTATTAGTCTTTGTTAACATTAATAAATATACAACTGTTTATTGTTCAGGTTCATAAGTTAACAGATTCAACTTTTGATTAAATAATGTATTAATAAATAAATGTTGAGATTAACAAATGTTTTAAAAAATGTTAATTGTTAGTTCATGTTAACTAATGTAGTTAACTAATGTTAACAAATGAAACCTTATTGTGAAGTGTTACCCATA